TGACTCTTTGAACCCGAGGATTGTAGTTAGCCAGGCTCCTGTCTGCAGGGATTCTCCAGGCAAGAATACTGGGGTGGGTTACCATGACCTCATCCAGGGGATCTTCCCAACCCAGGGATTGAACCGAGGTCCCTGCATTGCAGGCAGATTTTTTTTTTTTAAAACCAGTCCCAGGGAAGCCCACAGCTCTTATCAAGTTTGCCATCTTATATGAGTGTGGTCCGTGGTGCTCCAGAACAACTTGAACAGTGATATCAAAGATCACTAATTACAGATAGCCATAAAGAATACAATTTTAATGAAAAACTTAGAAATATGGTGAGAATTAGCAAATGTGACACAGTGGCATGAAGTGAGCAAATGCGGTTGGAAAAATTACATTCAATAAACTTGCTCAATACAGAGTTGCACCATAGGCTAATGTAAACTAATATAAGTGTTCTGAGCATGTTCAAGTTAGGCTAAACTAATCTTTGACATTTGGTAGATTAGGTTGTATTCAATGCATTTTCAACTCATAATATTATCAACTTGCAATGGGTTTATCCAGATGTAAGCCCAATATAAGGGCTTGAGGAAGATCCGTACTTATTGACCTGCTGTCCCACTGGAAAATGATTTGATTTGAGATTTCTGGCATTGCAGGGTACAAGGGAGGCAAGGAAATAGTTATGCTTCCAGGACCTTGATCCCCACGACCGTACCACACATATGTGAAGTTCCTTGGCCCCTCTGGGCTCATATCCCTCTAGGATGGAAGGCAGGGCTTTTAGGTACTTTCACGTAATGCGTAGGCAAATAAGAGCTGTGCTCATAGGACCACTGGAGGTGGTGTGTCACTGGCAATTTTCCAATTGATGTTTATGTCTCCTCTATTCTGTTGGGTTTTATTTCCCTTGTCTGACTCCCTTTTTGCCAGCAGCCAATACTGTGTAGCTCATTCCTTTACCACATGCCAGTTCTGTGTGTATCCTGGCTGCCACAGATGGTGTAGAACTCAGGAACCAGATGAAGTGAAGACGACACGTGTCTGCTCACCAGGAATCCCCTCTGGTGTTCCCAGCAAACACCTCCTTTGAGGCAAGTCCAGGTCAGGAGTCACCTTTTCTCTGAACCATTCTCCAGAATGAACCCTTCCTTCTTTTAGGATCTTGGTACAGTTATCAAAGCCTATACTGATTATTTATATATGCATCATGTCTAAAAAACATAGATATATATAAAGCAGGTGTCAATTTGCTACAAGACACTTCATTGCAAGGCTGGCATATTTCTTTATTTTTCCAAATCAAAGAACCGATTTAGCTGCCCATTCCTGATGTTGGGGTAAATTCATGGGCAGGCACATTTTGCTAAGCTTTCCCCTAGTTTTTGGTGCTATCCAAGAAGCCTGAGCCTTATGCAATTCAGACATACAGGCATTGCCTCTGCTGGTCCACAGTGATCCTAACATCTGGTGGAGCTCGGATTCTCTGGAGCCTAAGGAAGGTGAGCTGCAGACCACCTAATTGAGTGCAGGGACCCCTCTGCTCTCAGCCTTCTGCAACATGCTTGCTGAGGGCAAAAGGGGTAGAATTTACCTACCACTTTTGAAGTCTCTCCTCAGCATTCTCTCTTCCATCCTCTCCCAGAATCAGGCCCCCTCTTAAACATCTGGGATATGATTAAGCCCCTGACCTCTTTGATTGGTGTCTGCTCAGAAGTTTCCCTTGGCGATGACCTTTCACTGGCAAAAAAAAAAGCTTAGATCACACCACCAACTTTTGCCTGTCCTCTGGCAAAGAGCTGAGAGTTAACTTTTTTCTCCCAGCCTTTTGAATCGCCTTTAAAAGAGAACTAAACATGAAGAAGATATACACTGGGAATTCCATCACACACTTTTGCAGTGTCTCCTCCTTGAATAATGCTTCCCTGGCAGATTTCGGCTGTCCTCTGGACACCTCCAGAACCATCTGAGAATCAGGCCGGTGACGCCCAGCAAATGGTTGCTGGAAGAACATCCACCACGGCTCGTGGGAGTAGGAGGGACCTGTCTCATGTCTGTCTCCTCTCCTTTGGGTGGACTCGCGAACCTGTGAGAGCCAGGTTCCTGGGCTCTGCATCCAGCAGCTGGCGTGGAGGCAGGGCCCTGGGGAGCCAGATTCAGAAGGGTCCCACCGTTCTCCCAGCGACCCGGCGTGGCTTGTCTGAGAGTGGCAGCGAGCGGACCGGGGACAAAGGACAGAAGAGACAGGCAGAGCCTGGCCATCACAGCCTCGGGCACACGGGTACCGCTCGGTGGAGACGGACGCGGGGAGCTGGCGCGCCCCTCCTGGACTTCTGGGCTACTGTCTCCCCCGCGTCACGTGGAGAGGCGCGCGGGGGCCGGCGGGGCGTGGGCGCGCGCTGGGCTCTTTAAAGGCGCGCCAGCCTAGCCGGGAGAGGCGGCTTTGCGGCCGCAGGCTCAGGCCAGGGCTGGTTTCCGAGACGCGCAGCTCCGGCCCCCAACATGCGCGGCTCGCTGTGCCTGGCGCTGGCAGCGTCGATCTTGCACGGTAAAGCCACCGGTCTCTCCAGCCACCACTCTTGCTCCGTGGGATCCCAGGCGCATCCCAGGCGGCTCGGGGCGCCCCGCGCCGGGGACGGGATTGGGGATTCGCGCCTGCTGCGAAGGGCGGCGGGAGGCGCTGCCGGTGGAAGGCGAGCCCGGCACTTCTGGGCTGCGCTGCTTGGGCGGCTGGGGGTGCTTGGGCAGGGGGCTCATCCCCGCCGGCCGGCCCTGAGCAGCCCGCGCGTCTCTCCTCTCCTCTCCTGAAGTGTCCCTACAAGGCGAGTTCCAGAGGAAGCTCTACAAGGACCTGGTGAGGAACTACAACCCCTTGGAGAGGCCGGTGGCCAACGACTCGCTGCCGCTCACAGTCTACTTCTCCCTGAGCCTCCTGCAGATCATGGACGTGGTAAGTTCCGGCGGGCCGGGGCCTGCCCGCCGCCGTGTGCCCGTTTCCCCAGCCGCCCAGGGAGGAACCTGGCGTTCCCAGGCCACCTGTGCGCAGGTACTTCAGACCTGACTTGCCCTCGGATTAGAAACTCAGGGTGAAAGTGTCTCCATCCTGAGTCAGGAATCATCAAGAATAGGTCCGAATGGTCACACATTAGTACCCCTTCTGGTATAAGTATTGGCATGTAGTCTGATATGGGTGTCAATTTAGGCATTTCTAGACTTTTCTGCTGCTTCCCTGGTCTGGGTACGGGTCTGGCCCTGGACTTTGCAGCTGACTCGTCTGTCCAGGCAGAAGACCAGCTGTGAGCATTTAGACCCCCTCCCCAGTTCCAAAAATGGGCATGGTTCCTGGGGAGGTTAATGCAGGTGGTCCTGCTCCGAAGATGAGCAAGCCTCCGCCGCCCGGATACACTTGTCTGCTCGTTCAGGCAACTGCTTCCAGCCTCACGGGCTTCTTGCAGACTTATTAGTGCTCACTTCAATTGGCAGAGCTGTGTAAAATCTGGATAAGTTTGTTCTTCTGCTCTTCTAGATTGGATATTCAATTTTCATTGGCACATCCTTCATACAGTACAAATATTTAATGAAAGCATTTAAGTCATTGTAAGTGAGTTTCAGGGTCTAGCCTGTACAAAGCATTGGACTCGGCTCCGGAGCAGTATGCAGGGATGATGGTGTTCCAAGGAGGGGAGAATGTGGTAGGAAAGGGATGTGAGAAAAGCTACAACAGGTGGAAAGTGCTAAGAGTCTCCAGAAGTGTAAGAAGAAGGGTGAGATTTCATAATCCTGCAAATAAAGAGCACCCGTTCTATTAAACTGTTGAATGTTGCATCATTTAATGTAGTTACAATTGCTAAGATGAATGGTTTCTTTTCCCACAGGACACCTGTGTTAAATGTGTGGTCCCTTCTATTCCACAGTTAGACCTATGCTTCAAAATATTCAGTGTGTATGCAGTGACATGGAGAAACTATCACATTGGAGAGCTGTAAAAGCAGATAAGTGCTGTCCTGTGGTTTACCAGGGCAAAAAATGCTGTTTAGAGAGCTTGGACTGTAGGAAGAAGGAAAGGACAGAGATGTGGGGTTAGGGGAAGAGGTGCTGAGAAAGCTGCCCCGGTGTTGAGCAGAGCCAGGGCAGAGAAATGGAATCTCAGAGGCTTTGGGGGATGGGTGGGGTGGGCACAAGCCCTGTGGCATTTGGGGAGGCAGACTATGTGGAGCAGCTTCTCTGTTACTTTAGGAATCATAGGATTTGTCCTTGGGAGCTTGGTAGGTTCTGGCTCTGCTCATTTCTGGATGATTGGTCTTAGGTGTGCGTGTTAAGTTGATTCAGTCATGTCCAACTCTTCAGCCCTATGGACTGTAGCCTGCCAGGCTCCTCTGTACATGGGGATTCTCCAGGAAAGAATACTAGAGTTGGTTGCCATGGCCTCCTCCAGAGGATCTTCCCAACCCGGGGATCGAACCTTTGTCTCTGGTGGCTCCTGCATTGCAGGAGGATTCTTTACCACTGAGCCACAGGGGAAACCTGGTTGATCTTTGTTAAGTTTCTCAAGCATCCTGAGTCTGTACTTTCCTGTTAATACCTTGGACAGGATAGCACTTCAGCGATCATTGTGATGACCTGAAGACTGTGGAGGCAACTTTTAGAGACTGCAAAGTTTGACAGAAGACAGTGATCATTTTCATCTAAATAAAACAAAATTACCCCCCATCCCCAACTCATGCACGCATGTTACAGAGGACTAGATGAGCTAGCACACTCCAAAGTGGTGAGAAAATGAAAGCCACCCCAACACCATTTGCCTGGGGTTGGCCCCAAATGGGCCTCTCTGTGGGTATGTGTGTGTCACAACTCCGGGTCTTGGGCTGGTCCTTGTGCTGGATGCTTGGGATGTGGAGGGGCAGCGGCTACTCAGTCAGGGAGTGGGAGCAGTGACCAAGGGGAGCAGGTGCCATAGGCTGTGGCAGTCTCTTTTGGAGAGAAGGCCACTCACCAGGAAGCTGCAGGCTTCTTCCTAGTACCTCCATTTCTTTAAGAGACCTTTCAGGAATCAAATGGCATGAGAGATTTTGGCTTTTATGAAAAGTTTGGGTATAAGCTAGGGTTACATGATGTGACAACTAAAAAAATAGTGAAATGCAAACATTTGTCAAGTTAGAAGATTTTAAGAAGAAGAATAATTATAAGCAGTGTGTGTCATCAACATTGCAATACCAGAGAGAAGCACTCGTGAAGACCACTGTCAGCAGCCAGAGGTCACGGGAGGGTGGGAGGGGAGAAAGCTTTGGTCTCACCTTGACCGTGGATTTAGCTGTGAATGTGTTGAACTTCCCAGCTTGCCAATACTGTGAGCTCATGGAGTGGCCTTCAACAAATTGCTTTACTTTCTAAGCTCTGTTTCCTCATGTGTAAAATGAGAATAATGTCCACTTCACAGGGTTTGAGGGGATTAAATAAGAGAAAGCACTTGGCACACACTGGTAATTCACTGAAGATTTGCTTTATCTTCATAATGTAGCTACTCAACGGTTGGGACATCAATGCCTAGAAAGGTGTGGTCTCTTGGCCAGGGTTGCTCACTGGTTAGAGGCAGGGCTGTGTCACAGCTGCCTTGCAAGTCCTTTGTATGTCCGGCCTCCTTTAGAATCCATAACTTCTTTTGTAGAAAAAAAAATCGGCGTAATTTATTTAAACCACTTGAGTGTAACTGATTGAATGTGACTGTCCTGAGATTACAGTGAAAAGGAAGTCTCTATATCAGAAATAATGAAATATGCAAACATTTGTATTCCAGCCAGACTTGAGTCTGTCTGGTTTTGAAACAGAGCCAGGGCTTTCCAGCCGGACTCTCAAGACCCTGGACAGAGATACAGTGACTCAACTGATTCCTGTGACAAGCCCCAACTGGTATCAGGTTCTCTTTACAAATTCAGTTCCAGAGGTCCTTTGCCCATTCTGACTGGGCTGTTCTAGAGACCATTTTCCTTTAAAATCTTGTTATTGTTCCGTTTTCTGCCAGCAGAGATTTCCCGGCTGGAGTACAGGGAGATAATGTATGATTCTACATGTCTTATTTCCGTGGAAGGTTGTTTACCTGTTCATCAGCTTATTCAACACATATTTTTTATTGAAATCTTCTTGTGGACTTTGCTAGATTCTGGGAATCTATACATGGTTAAGGGATTATTTCTGCTTCTATAATTCACAGTCTTATCTATGGAGACTGACATGTAAATTCAAGAGTATCTCACATGTACCTGAATGCAAATGTGGTACAGACACACCTAGGAGGATATATTTACTTCCAGCCAGGTGGCTAGGAATCAGATTTCTAAAGGTGAGTAGGAGTTTGCCAGTTGGAGAAAACATGGAAGGCTTTCCCGGTGAGGCAAACGAGCAGGGTGAAGAAAGATGAGAGTGGGAGGACACCATACCCTTAGCAAGGTATGTTCTGTGGGGCACTGGCTCCCAGTTGATCTTGCTGCAGTTGTGCTGTGAAGCTCTTCAGAAACTTGAATACGCTTATGTGTGTTGAGAATTCTTAAAAGAGGGGTGTCATACTAACCAAACTACGAACTTTCTCTTACATACCCTTTTGTAAGAATGATGTTCTAGAAACACACCTTGCAAGATGAAGGACGGGGGTTATCTTCTGGTAGGAGGGCTAAGGTGAGTTCATACCATAGACAGAAGAGATGTTGAGCATAAGGTGTGTCGAGTGGCTCTGCAGAGTTTAGATTTCGTCTTGGGCCTTCATCAGGGTATATCTCCCAGGATATGAGGAGGTGGTGGTGGTGTGCCAGAGGATTCATGAAGCTGCAAGATCAGCTTGCCACTGCATATTTTTCTAGAAGTGGAAACAGTCCAAACCACAATATTTGTATTAAACCCAACAAGTATAAATTATAAACGAATGAAAAAAAATGTACATAAACTTTTAAAGACAAACCATGTGTTTTCAGAGGGATAGTTTTATCTACTGTGATCTCCTCTAGCTATCTATCAGGCCCCCTTAGTGAGGCACAAGGTAGAGAGTGAGAGGGTGGTGGATTTTTAATCAGAGGTGGGACATTACTAGATCTGTGTTTAGATCGAGGATGCTGAGGGAAGTGTGTGTGCGGGACAGATTAAAGAGATGAGAAAATGTAGGCAAAGGATGAAGAGGTCAAAACTGTAATGGTCAGTGTGGAAATGTGGAGACAAGGACAGATTCCAGAGACCTTTTGGGCGTACTGTCTATGATATATAGCTGTGTGTAAGAATTCTATGTAGGTACATAGATAAATTTGTTAACTGAAGGTACCTAAATTATTCCTAACTGCATAGTCTGACTTAACGGTGATTATTAATTTACTACATGGGCTTGTAACTGGGCTGGGAATGAGATAATACCTAAGAAATCATTTTGAAGTGATGCAAGTGTAAGATTCTAAACTACCAACAGTTTCCATATTATTTCTCCTTTTTGCATTCCATTTAGTCATTTGTCTGTACACACACATCTAAAGGCCATTCTGAGTGTTGATTTGCATAAAATAAATGTGCATAGTTAGGAAAACATGTCCAGAAGGCAAGGTATTTAAACTGAATAATAAGAATCAACACATAATTATATAGAAATGTATAATACATAATGATGTAGGGATGATTTCTGCTGTTTTATACATTTGGGATTGCAGATTCAACTTTTTAGAAACTTTGGTCACAAGACAGCAGAACCAGGTGGTTGTGCATTTGGGGTTTGCTATTGCAGAATGCAGGCATGGGTATGGAGTCCAGTGTCTGAGGGCTTGTGTGTTATCTGAAATCCCTTGATAGCTCTGCTCTGCTTTATCAGACTTACGATTTTACATTTACTGGCCACTATGTGAAATGCTGCAACTCAAACTTAATATTATCAAATACTTGCTGTAAAAATTGCACACCTTGAAGGCATTCTATGAAGAAAACCCAAGGTGCAGTTATTTAATTATCCTAATAATGTGTTTATAAGTGATGTTTCTTGCAGCTACAAATAACGTTTTGTGTAGGAAATAAAATTAAACAAAAAAAGGACTGCAGGGGGATAAAAGCCATCCAAATCCCCATTACTCAAGGCCTTCTGGTGCATTTCAGACTTTTCTCTATGTTCATAGGTTGTTTAGATAAATATTTAAAAATTAAAATGGCATAACACCATTATGGCACCTTAAACAATATTAGCAGGCATTACTTTTAAAGTGACACAAATAGGCCAAGTGGTAAACTGAATTTTAAAATAAGATTGTGTTCTTTCCGCACTATTATGTAACTCTCACTACCACTGTGTATTTGATCCCTATTTGTATTTTTATCTTAGAAATCTCTTGTAAAGTATTTATTGAAATGATTCATGATGTTACTTCAAAGCTTGGTTGTGTTTTATGTTGTCTCAGATTTTGTATGTGAAAAATCACAGAGATAATTCAAAGATCTTGACACTTGACAATACCTCCCTCCATTTTACGTTTGCTTCTGACCAACACTCAGGCTATAGGTTCTGGCAAGCACAAATCACCTTAATCCAGTTAGTGACTGAGAAGAGGAGGACCTGGGCTTCCATTCCTCAGAGGGCTAGTTTGTTTCTCAATTTTGCATATACATTCTAGTGTGTGAATATAGAGAATTTAGAAAGGTCTTCCCTCTATTCTGTAGACCTTGAACCCCACTATGTTCTGCTAGCTCTTGAGTCTGCCAAGATTTGCTTTAACTTTTGGCCTTCTAGACATTGCTTTAGAAATCATCACATGGTTCTGGAAAAGTGGCCCCGGACCCTGTTATTCTCTAAGCTTCCCTCCCTTTCCTGGACCTTGGCCCTGCTGTTCCTCATTGCCCTATTCTTTGACTGTATTTCTCATTGTATTTTCCCAGTTGTTCTCACTGCAGAGTGGGTGAGAACTACCTAGTTCATCACTGTGGGTTCAGTTCAGTTCAGTCATTCAGTCGAGTCTGACTCTTTGCGACCCCATGGGCTGCGACCCCATGGCTGCAGTATGCCAGGCTTCCCTGTCCATCACCAACTCCCAGAGCTTACTCAAACTCATGTCCGTTGAATCGGTGATGCCATCCCACCATCTCATCATTCTCCTCCTGCCTTCAGTCATTCCCAGCATCAGGGTCTTTTCACATGAGTCAGTTCTTTGCATCAGGTGGCCAAAGTATTGGAGTTTCAGCTTCAGCATCAGTCCTTCCAATGAACACCTAGGACTGATCTCCTTTAAGATGGATTGGTTGGATCTCCTTGCTGTCCAAGGGACTCTCAAGAGTCTTCTCCAACACCACAGTTCAAAAGCATCAATTCTTCGGCACTCAGCTTTCTTTCATTTCCTTTCTTTTATCGTGGGTAGCAGAACTGAAATTCTAAATTAAAACTTGTTTGTAATGCATCTTTATAATTGATCCAGATTTATTATGGTAGAAATTGTACCCCTGTTAAACCTCTTTATTGCTCTGGGACATAAAGGTACAGAATTCTTGTAGCTTTATAGACTGGGGATTATGGGCACTTTCACTAAAGGACACTTTCTTGTAAATGTTGTCTTTCAAGTCTACCCCTGAAGTTATTCCCCAAAGGCTTAGTTCTCTCAGATCTCCTGATTCATCCCTGACATGCTGTTAAAGGAAGAGAAATGGTCTTGTCATGGAGAGATGCTAGTGAAAATCTCTGCTCACTTATTGATTTATCAGGATTAGGTAGAGTTTTACTCCTTAGAGAAGAAGAAACTAATTTGAAACTTCTAATTCTCATTCTCTTTATTTCAGTGATTTCCTTATTTGCATTCCACATCAGCTATAAACTGTTTTAGTCAAAGAGCCCTCAAAGTAAAAACCAAAACCATTGAAAAAAAAAATAAAAGCTTGCATATGTACATTTATGTGCGCACACACACACACCCCTGTTGCTCTCATCTCTCTTTGTTGAATGTTTTTTTTTGGATATCACAAGATAAGACATCCCATAATATGCTTGTTAAGTTTCCAAGAGAAAAAACTTGAAGTTATTGCAAAAGCCTCAGAGTCACAACTTCCAGAGAGCCAAACAAGTGACTGAAACTAACATGAAATTAAGTAAGAAATTGTTTAAAGTCCAGCGGGGTAGTGGGAGAGGCCTGGATGTGGGGCTGACTCCAGACTCAGAGTGAGGCCTTAGAATGGGCTGACCAGTGCCCCCCTGCAGGTGGGAGTGGGCGGCGTGGGGGGTGGTGACATGGTTGCTGCCCTGGTTAAGGAGGGCCACCTGTGAGATGATCCCCAGCATGGAAAATTTATTCTGGGATCACTGAGGGTAAATTGTCAGTAGATTCCTGTCTCGGAGTAAAAGAGGTATTTCTGAGCAAGAAAAAATGTGTTTGTTTTATTTTGTGGAGAGAAGGCAAGTGGTCAGGTTGAGCTCCAGGTGTTTTGAAACTTTAGAATCATAAAACAGTTTTTTATTCTACTGCATCTGTCTTCAGAAGCTCACACATATAATGTGTTATATGGAGGGGCTCAGACTAAGCAAGTTAAGCCAAGGCTGCTCACTGATTGATTAAACTCAAATTGATAACATTTACAATTGAAATCACTGGTCCAGAAACATTCATTTATTCAATGTTTTCCTTAAGATGTTTTATTGACATTTGAAGTAACCTTTAATACGCTGGCTAGCTCTTAGACAGATTTCATTTAAGAAGTCATTTTGAACTTTGAATTGCAGTGTAATACAGGTCCCCTGTGTGGCAAAATATCAAAACCACCTCAATGAATTGTCACAGGTTACCATGCAGGTAACCACCACCCAAGATGGCTCACTCTTCTCCCTCTTTTTGTGTACTGGAAAACCACAGCATAATGTCAAGCATCAGAGTTTAATTTTGCCCTTCACTGGGACTCTGTATAGATGGAATCACACAAGAACACAGTGTGTATTCTTTTGTTTGCTTTTGTTCACTTTTATTTTTGTGAGAGTCACCCAGGTTCTTGCCTGTTGCTACAGTTTATTCATTTTTATTGGGTGGATGTAGCATTATCTGTTATTCTGTTAATGGAGATTTTTTTAAGTTGTTTCTAGTTTTTGGACTCTTGTGAAGTACACTGACATGAGTATTCCAACCGCATACATCTTTTGATGCACATGTTTATGTATTTCTATCACGTGTATATACATAGGAAGGGACTAGCCAGGCGCTTGGATGGCATGTCTTTAGCTTCTCCAGATGAAGCCAAAACCTGTTCAAAATGATTATACCAATTAACATTCTCACCAGCAGTGTCTGAAAAATTCTTGTTCTGCATAATCACCCACACTTTGTATTTTAGTCTTTTAAATTTACCATTCTAGTGGGTGGGGAGTGATATATTTCCTTGTGTTTTTAATTAGTGGTTTCCTGATTACCAATAAAGTTGAGGACATTTTCATTTCTTAATTTTCCGCTTGGATATCATCTTCTCTTGCAAAGTGTTCATGTCTCTTGCCTATTTTTATCTGTGTGTGTATGTGTGTGTGGTTTTGTTCTTTCCTTGTTAGGATTTGTATGTGTTTTTCTATTTTACGGACTTGAGCCCTTTGTAAAATGTTTTTGCGAGTATCTTTGACCCTGGCTTGTCTTTCCACTCTTTTCATGTTCTCTTTTTCATAAATTCCTCATTGAAGTAAAATATGCTTGTGTCTCAGCTGGTAAAGAATCCACCTGCAATGTGGGAGAACTGGGTTTGATCCCTGGGTTGGGAAGATCCCTTGAAGAAGGGAAAGGCTACCCACTCCAGTATTCTGGCCTGGAGAATTCCATGGACCGTATAGTCCATGGCGTTGCAAAGAGTCGGACATGACTGAGCAACTTTCATACTTCACATGCTTACAGATGGGCTTCCCAGGTGGCGCTAGTGGTCAAGAACCTGCCTGCCAATGCAGGAGATGTGAGAGACAAGGGTTCGATGATCCCTGGGTCAAGAAGATCCCCTAGATGAGGGCATGGCAATCCACTCCAGTATTCTTGCCTGGAGAATCCCATGGACAGAGGTGCCTGGCGGGTTACAGTCCATAGGGTTGCAAAGAGTTGGACATGACTGAAGTAACTTAGCATGCACACACATGCTTACAGATAAATTGTATCTTTAGATGAACAGAAATTCTTAATTGCCTGATTTTGTAATTCTTTTCTTCTATGTTTAGTGTATATTATGTTATCTTTAGAAAAATCTTTCCTTTCCTCAAGTTCATGAAGATAATTTTCTATATATTTGCATTTAGAGGCTTTTTGTTGTTGCTTTACCTTCACATGGAACTCTAGACTGATGATTATTTTGTTTTTCAAGGCTAATTAAAGGATTGTTAGTATAATGATTGCGTGATTGGTGCACTTTGTTGCTTTAGGCATTGTATTATCTACTTTGTCTGCCCCGAGAGAGACATTTCAGTTATATAGTGTGTACATGATACAGAGAAAATGCCAGGGCTATGACATTTTATTATGACACGTGACCCTACCTACAAAACAGAGCCAGACTCCCTGACAGAGAGAACAGACCTGTGGTTGCCAGGTAGGGTGGGGGATGGATTGAGAGTTTGGGGTTAGCACGTGCAAAGTAGTAAAAAGCAAATAAAGCAGTGATTACAAACTATAGCCTACAGGTTAAAATCTGCCCACCACCTATTTTTGTAAATAAAGTTTTATTGAAATACAAACACAAATAAATACCAGTAAGATGCAGCATTTACAGAGCCAATAATGAAGGATTTCTGAAAAGCCCTGGGCTGTCTCGATGCTGACTCTTAACCAGACACATTTTGTTGCCTCTGTTTCTGGTTATGACACCATTAGGACACTATTTTAGTAATCTTAATCGTCCTCTTCCTGGATTGATCAACTTCACCCATTCTTGTGACTTCCTACTATGATAGGTATGAACTCAGCTCATTCACAGCTCTCCTTACCTCCCCTCTTTCCTCTGTTCTTGCTTCTGCTGCTCACTTTTGCACCTTCAAAAGTACAAAACAGGTAAAGGGTGTCGACAGAGGGTGGCAGATGGAAATTAAACTTCTAGTGCTGAGCCTGCTGGAGTGTACAGAAGTGAAAATGTAATGTTGTATACGTCAAACTTATATAATGTTATAAAGCAATTTTGTGATATCACTTACATGTGAAATCTAAAATACGGCACAAGTGAACATATCTAAGGAATAGAAACAGCCTTAGAGACATAAAGAACAAACTTGCCAAGGGGGTTAGGGTTGCCAAGGGGGGGGAGGGGTTTGAAACTATTATAAATAGAGTAGATAAACAACAAGATCCTACTGTCTAGGGCAGGGAACTATATTCAATATCCTGTGATAAAACGTAGTGGAAAAGTATGGTATAGAATTCATATGTGTATAACTGAATCACTTTATGGTCGAAACTAACACAGCATTTTAAATCAACTATACTTGACTTAAATTGAAAAGAAAACCAGTGTTAATCAATTTTAAAAAATTATAGTAATCTTAATTATACCTACAAACTAACTTGTTGAAAAAAACAAAGCTTCTTGTCATTTCTGTTGCCTGGAATCCTGGAATTCAGCTTTCCTGCTCTGTAATCACTTCCTTTCTGCCCCTACTTCTCTTGAAGTCCTTCCATGTCCACATTGGTAACATTTACATTCTATTCTGTGTGTGTGTGTGAGTGTGAAAGTCAATCAGTCATGTCCGACTCTTTGCAACCCCATGGACTATACAGTCCATGGAGTTCTTCAGGTCAGAATACAGGAGTGGATAACCTTTCCCTTCTCCAGGGGATCTTCCCAACCCAGGGATCGAACCCAGGTCTCACACATTGCAGGCGGATTCTTTACCAGCTGAGCCACAGTCTTATTTAATTTCTCTGTAACTTGACAGTAGCTTGATTTGACTTGGGGGGGTGGGGACAAAAAACGGCCCTCACGATCTTGTGACAGTGTAAGCACTGTTCTCTGCAAAGCCATTTTTCTAAGCCCCTGTTTCCTTCTCTATGGGTTCAGTGCTGTTTCTGTGCCATTCGTTGGGGTCGTGTGTGCCCGGGGTCAAGCTCAGATGATGCTCCTTTTTCACCTTCTTCACCAAATCTCATTGTACTTTGTTATCCTGATGTCTTTGGTCCCACTGTACATCCAGTAGGTCCTCCTTTCACTGTTCCTGTCTTTTGTGCACTGGGCCCTCTTTCTCTGGGAGTACTGATTGGAGGGTTGTCCTTTCCTTCTTTACTTTTGTAGTTCATTTGTTTTGAACTAAGCAATGTTATTTCTTCTAGGGTTATTTTCCTCCCCTTCTTTTAATGTTGCTTGTTTATTTACTTTGCCTTTCTATTTATTTTTACTATGTATTTATCAAGATTTTCTAAAGTTCCTCTGGTTCTTAGTATCTCTTCTTATTTTTATATTAGGGAACAGAAACATTAGTAGAAGTGCTGTATCAGAGGGGGCCTGTTACATTTTTGAGGACCGAGTAAATGCTCAAGGGCTGAATGCTTTGCTCCAAAGGCATCTCTTTTCACATGACCTGCTTTGTTTCCTAAATCAGGGCTGTCCAATAGAAATGTAATGTCAGCCCCAGATGTGATTTTACATTTTCCAGTGGTCACGTTTAAAAAGTAAATGGTGCAGGGAACATTGATTTTAGTAAGATACCTCACTTCACCTAGTATTCCTAAATTATTAAGGATGCAACAAGTAGCCAACGTTAAAAAAACGTTAATGAGATAGTTTATGCTTTTAGGGGAGGGCACAGCTAAGCCTTGGGAATCCCGTGAATGTTAGGCTCATAGCACTGGCCACCCATCCAGGACTTAGAAGGCAGGTTTTGGAGGGGCTGCCATATTGTTCTGTCTAGCACTCACTGATCAGATCAGTTTGTTTGAGTTTTGACTGTATGGAGTGAGGAGAAACCTGGTAGTTTGTTATTGTCAGGAGGGAGTTGACCAAGCTTGCTCTGAATTCACCTGTGACAGCTCCACTCCGTACTCCCTGCCCTCCTCTGGACCCAGGGCACTTCTGGAATCTGTGGGCTTCTGCATGGCAGATCTGCTCCCTCTCCCCTGCAGCCCCGTACTCAGCGTTGAGCACAGGTCTCCCTTCGTTGGCTTTTGCAGTCACCAAGCCTCTGTGTGTGTGCTCTTTTCTTGTGATGGGTTGAATATCTTGTCTTTTTATGGCCTCATTTCCATTATCTTTCTTTTGGGGAGATTATACCTGTTACCTGAAGAAGAAAAAAAAAAGTACAACCTGAACGTTGAGAATTATGGTTTATTTGGTGGACAGGATGGAGACTTAAGTCCAGAAGACAGGATCTCATCTCTAAGGGACTTTTCCATAGAGGTAAGGGAGAAGCCACCCTCTCCAATACTCTGGCCTGGAGAATCCCATGGACAGAGGAGTCTGGTGGGCTGCAGTCCATGGGGTCACAAAGAGTCGGATACGACTGAAGTGGCTAAGCACAGCACAGGAGGAGCCAAGGTTTACAGGAATTTTGCAACAAAGACCAGGTAGTCAGTGCATCAGAAAATTACTGTTAACTAAAGAAAACCAGACATCTCAAATTAAGGAATTTAGCACTTTTCTATGTATGGGAAGATGCAAGAGTCTGGGCTCCCTGAAGTCATTCCTTTCATATGCACCTCAGCTCTCTGGGGCCAGGATCCTAGACTTTCTCATCCAAAATCCCTTCAGGGTACACCACTGGGGGTGGCTGCAGTCACTGACTGCTTGATGGCAGGCATCCTGTTTCCATTCCTGAATTCCCTCAAGACTCACCATCAGAGGTGGCTCTAATGAGGTGGCCTGATAGCTGTAACATCTTTGTTTACTGACACAGCAGGCAACATTTTTTTTTCATTGGCATACCATTTCTCTCCTTTATTTTAATTTCAGTAGTCTTGAGGGCAGAGGGGAAATAGATGGGTATAAGCTGACATCTTAAGCTAAAACCTTACTGGATACTCTTTATCAGCAACTAAGCCAATGGGCAAAAATGTTCTTTTGTATTTTTAATTCATTATTTGATTCACAGATCCATGTCTACATTTCTGCAATGTAATTTTGATATTTGTGTTTCTTTAAACTGATTGAGCAGTGAACACCTGGGCAATCAAGAACTGAGACAATGAGCATTTTTATATACATCTTAGGTTTATGATTATTTAAATGTAAATGAATGCTTTCTTTATTGTGGCCCCTGTAGAAGGAGAGGCAGTTACTGTAAGAAACCTATTAAAATATCAAATACTTCTGGACTCTTGTTAGGATTAAAGTCCAATTATTTGGAATCTTTTGGTAGAAATAGTCTTTTCAGGATGAGCTTATTTATTGAGGCTGGCAGGTATACCTCAAGGCAGGGTCTCATGATGGATGTTGATGGCTCACAAACAAGATGGAGATGGGTTTTCTGTTTTTATTTTTGTTTGGATGCTTATAATCTGACACTGGAGAAAAATAAATTTCCCCAAATTGTCTTAAGCAACTTAAAACAGTTCTCTACTGACTATTTTCAAAACCATCCTTTGTGAGGTAGTGAACTTTTTGGTATGTTAACTTGAAAAGTCTTGACTTTGTACTTAGAGCTTATAGAGTAAATGAAACATTATATGGGTCTTAAAAGTCAATTGGTCAAAAGCTTTAAAACACTTAAGAGAAAACATTAAAAAATTTCTTCACAAGGTTTTTTTGTTTATTTGTTTTAAATAAAACCAAGAATGTTACTGTTTTAAAATTTATTTTTGCTTTAAATGTTGTGGTTACTCATCAAATTGTGATTGAATCATTTAGGATAATATTTTGTATTTGCCTAAAATATCTGGAGATTGAGGATCAACAAAATTCCTTGATGGAAACTAAAGAATAACAGGCACGTTGATAAAAACAGACAAAGCCTAGAGAATCACAATATTTTCAAACATTCAAGTGCTTCTGGCTAGTCTTCAGGGGCACATCCTATAGACAATTGGAGGTCAGGAGATAACTTTATTTTTCAGCTAGGTAAAATGCATGCAGCATAGATATTTAAACATAGGGGAATCTCTCTGAATCTGGTTTGTCCTTTGTATCCGTGGTTTGTGTTTTACAGCCCCAGAGTGAATGGAAACTGCACCAGAGGCTTTTCTCTGAAAGGAGTGGTCTGTACTGACATCTGGTCTCAGGAATGAGAAGCATTGAAGGCAGCTCTCTGTACCAGGAGCTGGACTGGCACTCGGCTGCAGGAAGGTCCCCCTCACCTCCTTTCTTTCCTTCCTTTGAAGGGCATCAGGCCAGTTGGACCCCATCTCCTGTTCCATGTATGGAACAATTAATGTGATGGCCACGGACCAGGATGCTCCTTTGTCAATAACCATTGAGCAGGCATTAAAGCAACAATGTGCAGATGGCACTTTCATTGTTGATGACAGGGGAAATTATAGGCACTGGATTAAATTAAAAACTGAAAGGGAATGAATACTCATGACAGGAAATGTGTTTCCTTTCCAGTGGTGGTTTGCATCTGCACAGGGAGCAGCTTGGTCATTGATGTGTTATCACAAACCAGCTTTCCACTGGCTCCCTGCATTTTTTAAAAAATATCACTTTAAAAGCACACAGCATTAGAAAGAAATACTTTTAAAGGGCTTGAAACTTGTCTTAGATAGAGGAAAGGAATAGCAAGATGGAATACATGGTATGGATTTGTCTGGATTGGAAAGATTGCACCTGTTTCAGAAATGCTGCTCTTTTGGAGGAAAATGAGACTCCTGAGTTTATCATCATGTCTGTAGGAAATCTGTAGATGTAACCTGGGCTAGGGGGATTCAGGGCCTGTCTCCCCTGCTAATAGGTAGTTTTTAACAAAGTGCTATATTATTAGGACCATTCTTATCCAAGCAGAGAAGATTTGGGGACTTGAACCCAGGCATTTTTCATATTTTTTTTTGTTTGGGGATATTTTTGCTTTTTTTTTAAATTTTTGAACATATTAGGCAGTATTCAAGATACTCAAATAGTTGATGACCAGTGAGATTTTATTAAAATGATTTGAATTATTTTGGGGGATATTTGGTATATATTATTTCATTCTACTTACTTTTGTTTCTGATGCTCAGATTATCAAGGTGACTCCTGTGTCCTTTTGGTAAGCTCTCTCTGATCCTTGATAGTTGCTCTGTTTTCTAGAACAAAATAAAATGAGATATCTCAAGGCTGTCTTGTACTGCTCACTCCAGACTTGAATCTGCTTTTACGAAGAAACCCTTCAGTGGGAAACTTTATTCGGAAACCATGGATTGACAGTAGACATTGGAATAAGTTCTGACTTGAGTCTAGAAAAATATTTCAGAAAGAGATAACTGACCAAATGGAAAGTAAAAATATAAAGAAAGGATCTTTTTTAAAAAAGCTTCTAGAGTTCAAGGAAAGCATGAACAACTTAATGTAAAAGACTCATTGAACACTTCAATTTCAGTGCACCAGGGATAGGAAAAAAAAAAAAACAACCTTAAATTATCCAGGACGGAGGGAAAATCACTTGCTAAAAATAATTGCCAAAATGACATCTGTGGTCTTATCAGAAAAATCTTGGATTTGAAAAGACGTGGTCTATAATATCATAGCTCAGGTGAGAAATTATTATCCCCAAATCTCTAAAGAGCCAAGTAGAAAAACAGAATTTTCAGATATACATGGATCCAGATTTTACCACCCATATATTATCTGAAAGCATTGCTAGATAATGTATTCCAGTTATGAAAAAAAAAACCCAAAACAAAGTAAGTGGGATATATGAAAAACTTGTAAGAGATCAGAAAAAATATCCATCAAGCATAATTGTCAAATAGCCATCCCTGAAATGTTGACAATAGTCTGTAACCCACACATACATATCTTTCTTTCTTTACATATCATTGTTGTTGTTGTTCAGTCACTCAGTCGTGTCCAACTCTTTGTGACCCCATGGACTGCAACATGCCAGGCTTCCCTGTCCTTCACCATCTCCTTGGTTTTGCTCAAACTCATGTCCATTCAGTTGGTGATGCCATCCAACTATCTCATCTTCTTTTGTCCCCTTCTTCTTCTGCCTTCAATCTTTCCCAGCATCAGGGTCTTTTCCAGTGAGGCAGCTCTTTGCATCAGGTGGCCAAAGTATTGGAGCTTCACCTTCAGTATCTGTCCTTCCAGTGGATACAAGATTGTTTTCCTTTAGGATATACTGGTTTGATCTCCTTTCACTCCAAGGGACTCTCAAGAGTCTTCTCCAGCACCACAGTTTGTAGGCATCATTTCTTCAGCGCTCAGCCTTTTTTTATTGTCCAGCTCTCACATCTGTACATGACTACTGGAAAAACCATAGCTTTGACTAGACGGACCTTTGTAGGCAAAGTAATGTCTCTGCTTTTTAATGTCTCTGTATATATATGTTTGTATGCATATGTATGTGTGTGTGTAAATGTAAGTGAAAATATGTGTTTTCAAAATTTTTAAATAACCACTATGCAAGTGGAAAGAGATTCTGAAATTTTCAAATCTTGAAAAGAAAATGAAACAAAAAAATTTGAACGTTCCAATAATGTTTAGAATTGATTTTAAGAAGCCCAACAAAATACTGTGGGGAAATGGCAACCCATGATGACAGAAACAAGGCCAGTCTCATCCATAATCACTCTGTTGTGAAATGGGTCAGTCCAGTTCAGTTCCTCAGTTGTGTCTGACTCTTTGCGACCCCATGGACTGCAGGATCCTCCTAGGCCTCCCTGTCCATCACCAACTCCCAGAGCTTACTCAAACTCTTGTCCATTGAGTTGATGATGCCATACAACCATCTCATCCTCTGTCGTCCCCTTCTCCTCTTGCCTTCAATCTTTCCTAGCATCAGGGTCTTTACAAATGAGTCAGCTCTTCACATCAGGTGGCCAAAGTATTGGAGTTTCAGCTTCAACATCAGTCCTTCCAATGAACATTCAGGATTGATTTCCTTTAGGATGGACTGGTTGGATCTCCTTGCAGTCCAAGGGACTCTCAAGAGTCTTCTCCAACACCACAGTTCAAAGAGCATCAATTCTTCGGCGCTCAGCTTTCTTTATAGTCCAACTCACACTTACACATGACTACTGGAAAAATCATAGCCTTGACTATATGGACATTTGTTGGCAAAATAATGTCTCTGCTTTTTAATATGCTGTCTAGGTTGGTCATAACTTTCCTTCCAAGAAGTAAGCGTCTTTTAATTTCATGGCTGCAGTCACCATCTGCAGTGATTTTGGAGCCCAGAAAAATAAAGTCTGCCACTGTTTGCACTGTTTCTCCATCTGTTTGCCGTGAAGTGATGGGACTGGATGCCATGATCTTAGTTTTCTGAATGTTGAGCTTTAAGCCAACTTTTTCGCTGTCCTCTTTCACTTTTATCAAGAGGCTCTTTAGAGGAGGAGCCAAGATGGCAGAGGAATAGGACGGAGAGACCACTTTCTCTCCTACAAATTCATCAAAAGAACATTTGAACGCTGAGCAAATTTCACAAAACAACTTCTGATCACTAGCAGAGGACATCAGGCACCCAGAAAAGCAGCCCATTGTCTTCGAAGGGAGGTAGGACAAAATATAAACGATAATAAGGGAGTCAAAAGAGCTACGGACGGAGACCCGTCCCGGGAAGGGAGTCTTAATAGAGGAAGTTTCCAATCACCAGGAAACCCTCTCACTGGCGGGACTGGGGGAAGTTTTCTGCATTCTAACTGGGAGGAAAAATTAAACAAGGCCCACAGATTACGTGCCTAAAAGCAACTCCCAGCAGAAAAGTACCCCAGACGCCCGTACCCGCCAGCAACAAGCGGGGC